TACGCGACGTTTGAGAATGTATATTTTCCGTGGAATCTTCTTTCATCCTTCCATTTCGAGAGCCATTCCGCGGAGGCGTTTCATCGGTCGAGCGATAATTGTACAAATTGATGTTAATTCGACCTTTGGAACGGTGAGATTTTAAAGGTTGGAAACAACAGGGGCCGGTGTTCCCTTTCTTTCGACAAAAGGAACGTTGAAAGCACGCCATATTTCGATCCATTCTGCTAGACGAACGTATTAGATTGTTTTGCATCGTAATGTCGCAGTCGTAAAACATCCAACGGTTTTCATTCGTGGATCGTTTCACTGACCCCTGCACTGTGATTAAAAATTTTCATCGTTAAAACGAACTATAACTGGGGACATTTAACTTCGAAATTGTTCGATTGTTATACTGAAAATCTCGGGTAGAATTTATCTTTGAGCAATAAGATATCGAGTGTTATTTTAAAAGTATCTTTAAGACAATTCAAGCGTAATTTCTAGGCAGAGCACTTAGAGGAAGAAAACGTGCAAAGCACGAAATATCAAGTTGGCCGATTATCGCATATCGATGGTACGTGGAGAACATGCGCGGCAAATAGCAAAGTGGCTCGTAACCTGTAGATTCGAGAGATGTGCTTCGCGATTTCAGCATGATGCACGCGCATGCTAGCCTAACAATAAAGATAAAGCTGCAGAGAACGCGGAGAAACCTTAATCAGGTGAAATGACCCATTAGGCGAAACAAAGTGGTGCGGCTTTATGTAACGGCAATCGTCGAGTCGTAACGATTAAACGCGAGACACGTTAGGTAATTGCTCGGGAACGTGGATTAATCGCCCTGTTAAATGATAGATATTCGAGCATGATTGAGCGAGTAGCAGCGACAAGCGAGTAAATCGTTGACTTTGTAACCTTCGCGACTTTCTACTAATAAATAGTAAACTTTGTCGATTGTCGGCGTGAGAAAACAGTGAATATCGAGCTTCTGTCGCCGATTTTAAAACAATGATAAAAATAAATTGTTGCACCGATTTTTCCGGAGGAAAAAAAATTCTCCAACAGTTTTTGCAGTAACAAAAATCGAGGAAAATGTGCATCGAATCCTCGGAGAGCCGAAACGAACGAAGCGCGAGTGTAAAAATCAACGAACGACGGGAACGTTGATGCAACGGTAGCAAATCGCTAACGAGACGATGCGTGCACGCGTCGAATATCGACGTTGAGCAAATATTACAACCGACGAACGATAACGCTTAAACGATCCATGAATGATCAACGAACGGCGAAGAACGTTACGACAAATATTGGCTAGCGGAGGATTTCCCATGGTAGCGGATGCGAGCGAGCGGCAAACGGCAAAGTGTCTGGCCTCCTAACCTCTAGACCTGGCGCGGGATGCACCTTGAAGAGATGGCTGGATGCTTGTTCGCGTGAGGAACACCGATTCATTCGGAGTGTGTTCGTTCCTTTTTCCGTTACGCGTAATACGCGTGCGTGACGCCGCGCAGCCGGTTGCGGTTCGGGACGAAGAGGAGGCGATTAAAACGGCGCTTTTAAAACGCGAGAAAGCTTGGCCGTGCGCGCCGGCGAAGCGTCGTAACGTTGTAATAACAAGGCGCCTGAAAAATTGCCCGGTTAACTGTGATTCTAGCAGTTGCTCGCGGCTTCCTGCGCGCACCTTCGCAACGCAACCGGTTCCATTATCTTCCCGAACCGAGTGTACCGATGCATTTGCCATCGAACGTGCCTCGCGATAACAGTCTCGTTGTCGCGTTTACACCACCGCACTGTTAAGTAATATTTCGTGTCAACGATTGGATTGATTGGCAGGACAGACAATGGACAATAATTTACGTTCGTATGAATTCTCGATTGACTGGTATTTTCGGAGCGTTTAATACATTGACAATCGATAAATGATCCTCGTTTTTCTGCGGTAGATTGGTAGATTGGTTTAGCTTTACAGACGACAAGCAATCGAACGGTATATGTCTCAAAGGATTTTTATAAGTACTTGGTTCGAAACTCTTGTTTGGACATTGTTTCATCTTTCTCTGTATAATAGCACGAGAATGAACGTCGATTACAGATATTTATTAGGTACCTTCGCGAATGGATCAATGGACGCAAATAGATTCCAAAAGCTTTAAATCAAGTTATTCATTGCTCGCGTCTAATGATACCAATCAAGTACCCAATAAAACTCATTTTCACAGTTTCCCAACGATTCTTGCTCCGAGTGTGTTTCCACGGCCCCTGCGATTCACCGTTGCGACGCTCGATGGTAAACGTACAGCGTAAAAACAAACAGCGGTTACCCATAAGCCGTAACAATGAATCAAAGCTAATGTAAACGGAACTGGCCGGCTCACGAGAAAAGAAATGCGGCAATCAGTTACGAAACGAGGAAGTAGAAAAAGAAGAAGACGAAGACGAAGACGAAGACGAAGACGAAGACGAAGAAGCAAGCGTATATATCGGTTGTAAATCAATGGCGAACACCGTCGCCGCGGCAGAGGAGGGATCGCAATTTTTCCACGGTTCGACGAATTCGCGCCGGTTCGTCCCGGTGCAAACGTTTTCCTTCCAGTCGAACGCGCCGCGTGCTTCAAAGAGAACGGTGAGACAGCACGTGGTGGGTACTCGCGGATCACCGAAGTAACGGTGCCCGGTAACCGCGTCAGAGCCGGTGCTAGCGGTACTCGAAAGCGTTCCGTTACTCGACCGACAGATCCGCTAACGCGACTACTCGCGCTCTCTCTCCTACCCAGCTCTGCCAGCCGCCTTCTTCTCTGCCCCTTTCTCTCCAGCCGCTTGTGCATCGCCACGCCGCGCCGTGGGATGAGAAGCGTGCACGAAAAGCGCCGACATATCGAGCCGCACCGTCTCTCTCGCTGAACAACCCGCGACGAGTAATGGCCCTTCATTACGTTACCAAACCGAACGATCGACCTCTACCGTCCGTCCGTCCGTCTCTCTTTCTCTCTCGCTCCTCTCCGCAGCCAACTCAACTTTGATTTATGTCCGTGGACTGCCACGTGGACTTGGCCCTTTTCGCATCGATCCAGACGTTCTCTTTTCTCTCTCTTTTCTTCGCCGGTTCAATTTGAAATCCGAAGCTCGTTACGTCGAAGAAAATGATAAGGAAGGAATGACAAAGGGTAAAGCGAAATTCTCGATCGTCAGCCGAGATCTAACGACTCGATAAAAATTTGGCCTCGTTTCGATTATGAATCACACGATGTTCTTGATCCCGTTGAGGAGTGGCTCCTCCAGCTGCGTGAGCAGCATTCGTTGCACCGAACGAAATAACGATCCAGAGTGGTCCAAGTGGTTCGTTACTAGTTATCGTAGAGGTATTTCGAGGGCATCGGCGATTACGAGTGGTCGCTGCTGGACGCGTTTTATTTTTCTGTTATTACATACGTACGTCTCTCTATACACCGACCGTTTGCTCAAGACGTTTATCGCAGGATTGGATCGAAGATTGAACTTGGACCGACTTTGCCGATAGAAAAATGATTCGTGGTTGCTGGAATCTATGGTTGATGAAAAGCGGAGCAAAGAATTTATTCGGCAACGAAAAATGATCGGTCAAGTAAGAACGTGCTTCGTTACGTCATTTCTTCAACGTACTTTTAATTGCAAGTTTTCGTGAAATTGAATTTCTTCTGTGTGAATTTGTCACGTAATGTGAAATCGAGGAACTGCTTCAACCCTCTTTGCACGTTGAAATCAATTACTCCCAACGATCGTTGAATCGCGTTCCGCTTACGAAATGGGAGCGACTCGTTTCACATCCGGCTCGAAGGACCAAAATATCGTCGCGTTTCGCTCACAGTTGGGACCCATGTGGTGTCTGTACTCGAAATTAATTTCGTGCAGACGCGTTAAAACGAGTATAGTTTTTAGTTGATAGATTAGGCTACTACTATGATTCTACTGTATCCGATTCAAATTTGTATTTGCCTTTCCCGCTGATAGTCAATTATAGCCAATCAATTTAAAGTACGGGCCGTTCGAGTGCCCTGACTTTGATCTAACGTAATGTCATTTTGAACATCTTCAAGAACGATTCGACGTCAATCGGCTCTGGAGGATGTTAAACGTAACAGGACCGTGATCGACTACCGGGGATAACAACAAGATAATAATCGTGATCGAAACGTGGCGGCCATTAGGACTTCTTGTCAGCGAGAAAAAGCAAACGTCCCGTTACCCTTTAGTCATAAACATCTAAATTGATACAGCAGATTTCTTCATGCTGATAAGAAGCCTATCGTCTTCAGCATAGAACGTTTTTACGTATATATTTTACGTATAACCGCCTCGCGAAAACGCTTCGGAAACTATTGGTTGTTCGATCGAAGCCAACGAGAGGCTTCAGCAACCAGGTTGGAATTAATTTCGTTAATTAAAACGCGACGCGATATCGCAAGAGTTCAAAGGAAACATTCCCTAGGAAACATTACGCGTTCGACATTGATCCGTTTCGGTTGGCGATGTGCCATGTAATTGCTCCTCGATACAGATATCGCAGCGAGACTTTCACCTATATTTTTTAATATCAGTGCTTTGCAGTCTCCATTCGATCGATTCGTCTGTTCAATGCACGATCTTGACTTTCTTGGATGCAAGAGGTCCGATCTTGGACGTTTTCTTCCGTCGACGCGGAGAAATCCGTTGAACGGAGAAAAACGTTCGCGAGGTATCAGTTTGACTTTAAGGAGACAGAGACGGTAACGTTCGACTCGCTGAGCCCGTTCGACTTGCAAAGGATCATTTCTGGTCTATCCGTTCCCTCTTCGACGCAATTGTTTCAACGGGAAAGTTTTTCATTCGTATGTTTACGCATGAAAAACAGTCCAAAGAGAAGGATTCTGTCTGAAAGACAATCACGAAGGAAACGTGAAATTGTCGCTACAATCGAACAAAAAAGCAAATCTAAATTGAGTGCCTGTAGATGTTAAATATAACCCTACCGGAAGATCTCGATCGTTTCCTATTCGTACCTGTGCCCGTGATCGGTGGAGACGCCAACTGCGAGCTGCTTATATCCGGTGGCTGTTGATTCTGTTGCGTTTGTTGCTGTTGTTGCGATTGTTGCTGCTGTTGCTGCGGGCTGTTGGCAGCCACCTGCACGGAACCCGGACTAGCCGCACTTTCCGCCATTTTCTCCCCCTTTTCTTTTCTCTTTTCTCTTACGTTTCCTTCTGTTCCCCCCCCCGATATACGTTTTTCGATTCGTGTTTTTCCGCGAATTTTTTCCCCTCTTTCTCGCAGCGTGCAGTTTCTCTCTCTTCAAACTTCCATCAACGACAGCCGCGACATTTTCCTGGCGCTCGGGGGAGAGAAAAACGCGATACGGAACGTGATCGGCTGTCACACTGTTCTCGTTTTCGCTCCGTGGCTCGACGCGATTCGACGCGACCAGACGAGTAGATGCTGATCGTATTGAATCAGACACAGTTCCGATCTCGCTCCGCAGGTGGAAAATTGTTACCCTGACTCGCACGGAGCGTACCTACGCACAGCTCGAGCTGATTAACGTGCGTCTGCTCGATTAACGAATTTCTTCACACTGTCCGGTCATAGATGAACACACGTATATATATTTTCTTCCTATAGTTTTCTTTTTACACTTTTTCTTGCTGTACCTCGCACGCTCTAGTATCTCCTTTTTATAGGTGCGTGTCTTTTATATTTCGCATTAGCTCGATCGATCTTTAGCAACGTTGGCTTTCTCAAACCTCTCCTTTGCCCCCGGTTTTCTTCTCCACTTGGTTATCCTTATTCCTTGTTTATTGCTGACGACTTTCCCCTCTCTTTCTCGAGGTGCCTGCCTCGTTCTTACACGATCAGGCTGTCGTCGTCGTCGTCGTTGTTAACGTTAACCTGAACCAGCACGTCACGTTCTCACAGGGAGAAGAAGATTCCTCGACGGTTGCCACGCAATCCCGTTTGACGTCAGAGGAGGACATTACAACGACGGCTTGGAATCGCAATCCGGATGCCATCTCTTCCGCGAACGATATATTAAAGATGCACTGTCAAGGGCTGCCTCTGTGTACCGTATGAACGATCGATCGATCGCTCGCTCGCACTGTCGACCCGGCAAAACAGTTCGACGATGTTCGATTACGTTGGCAACCTGGTCGACGGGACACGTTGATTCCTTCGGTGATCGCGTTCGCGCGATCGAGTAGTCAGCGATAGCCGATACGTGGACGAGATCGTTCTCGATGCATCGTCGATGCAAGACATCGAAGAGGTAATCCGGGTGCGATCGATTTTTATCGACCTTCGTGTACTATTCCTCGCGTATACGGTCGATCGTTATCACTCCACGCTCGTTGATCACGATCCGTTCTCTGAACGATGAGCGAAAGAAAAAGGGGAGGTATTTCTCAAGGGGCGTTGAAAACTCGAGATCGAAATTTCGATAAGAGGAAAAGACGATGAAATTCGAGCAGAGACGAGTATTTTACGTACGAGTATTTTAGTTAGTCGTTGGAAGAGTTTCCCCCCTTACCCCTCTTTCCGCCCTCGATTATTTATCTCGACAAAAGTTTCCCTTTTTCGAAAACAAAAGGACATACCCAAGGGAGAGGGCAACAAGCGAAAAATTAGGGAAGCTTACAAGGTACAACAATGTATATGTTTCTTCGTCGATCAGTCGAGAAAAGAGAATAATCTCGAGGCACTGTTTATCGTATCGATCGCAAAGCGTTGTCGACCTTCGTTACTTTGTGATGAAAGAGTTCCACTTTTCGATCCTCTTTCGCGATAAAGACGAAGGGACAAGAAGTCGAAAGAATCAAGGTGTAACGCTATAGAGATAAATGCGAGAACAAGACACACAGGGACTTTAACAACGATACATACTGTTACGTGTTCACGGTGTCCACGTATGAATAATCAGTCAATCGAGAAAGGCATAAAATTTTAGGCACTCTTCACCTTGTATCAACGACACTCAAAAATTTAATTCAGTTACTCGACTCGATCTACCTTTACTTCCACGAATCCAACGAAATTGAAGAACGCGATCGAGATTAATATAGCATATAGTGTATACCCTGAATATACGGTCGACGCGATACAAGCGCTATAAAACAAGAAGTAAAAAATCTCCAAAGCGGAGCAACGAATGTGAGAGGAAAAACGGGAGGAAAAGACCAAGGGAGTAGAGAAAGAGAGAGAGAGAGAGAGAGAGAGAGAAAGAATCTCGAAATTGTTACGCCTAGAACAAGATCAGTCGAAAAAGTACCAATTGAAAATACTTAGGCACTCGTTTGTCCTTATATACATGCGTATAATGTGTATATTACGTGTCTGTCTGTATGTACGCCGCGTTGGTATCGACCCTTTCGTTATCCTCGAACGTTACCCCTTGTCAGCTAAGATACGAAATGGAATTACGAATAGCCCGACGCGCGGCACGCCAACAAACGCAGGGGAGAAAAGCTGAAATAGGGTGGCAAGGGAAAAAAGATGACGGACGAGGGTAGTAGGAGTGGAGCAGCGGCGAGTCGATAGGTCAGTGGGTCTCGTTCAAAGAACGACTCTCTTCGATTCATCCGCGCGTTCGTACGCGCAGCCACGTCGACCTCCTGCCTTTTCTAATATCCACTTCCTCCACCGGTCGGTGTCCTCCGATGCGTCAATTTACCTATTCACCATGTTCGATATCCATCCGGCTACAAGACAAGGACAACAGAATCGAGAAACGTCGAGGGAGAGGGAGCGAGAAAGAGAGAGAGAGAAAAAAAGACGCAGCAGCGCTAGCAGAGGAAAGGTGGGGCAGTAGGCGAGTCGATAGGTCAGTAGGTCTCGTTCAGAGAACTGTTCTTCGAGGGAGTTTCATCCAGTTCGCACTTTCGGTTTCAATGTTTCTACTCGTTAATCTGGACGCACTTGATACAGCCAACTTGGCGCGTCCTGTTTTTCTAATCTTTTCGAACGTGTATACGCGTCACTGGAAGGGATGAGACACAAATTAACGCCGTTGACTCACGAATTTTTCTGAAAAAAAAAAAAACAAAAAAAAAAAAAAAGAGAAAAACAAAAACAAAAAAAAAAAAAAAAAAAAAAAAAAAAAAAAAA